ATATCTGCTGATGTATTTGGCATTTAGCATGACATTTTCTTTTGAAGATTCAGTTTGATAAGCTTTTCTGTGCTTGGTTATTAACTACTAAATTACACTATCAGTAAAGGAATAACAGTAGAGAATTAACTTAACAGTGTTATTCAGTAAAACAGCAGCACATCATGGATGTAAGATTAAAAATAATTGCACCATCCTGACTGTCAATTGGCACACAGTAAGGATTCTGTTGCACTGAGGAATGCCACTTGTACACAGTATAAAATGATTAACCTACCTCTGGGATTAGAGAAAAATTGGCTTTCATACATGGACTTGTTATAAAAGAGCTGCACCTTTAAGAACATGAATGTGATGTAAAGATCTGTCTGTTACAACATAGCATAAATTGCTAGAAATCATCCATCTAATAGAAGTCTAGTTTTCAAAGAATTCTTGTGGCCAAGACTACAAGTAAAAAAAAATAATCATGTAAATTGTGTGTTTTTTTCTACCCAGCATAGAACTCCTCATACTTATTTTTATCAATCAGAAGGTAACCAGGAAGAACAAATTCAATTCTCTTTGGATAGTGAAGATTTTGTGTACATGTTGTACTGTAGTTTTGTAAATGCTTTGATGGACAAAAATCTGATTACATATTTTGGGATTTTATTATGATACAATTTTACCTTGAATCAACATAGTACAGCACAAATAATTTCACCATATAGCTACTAGATTTGTATATATGTGGGTTGTGATCTGAAAATAGACTAGATCTACAAAAGGATAAACACAATAACTTGCCATACTAAAGTCAAATCAAATCCAAATAGTAAGGATTCAAAAAATTATGAAACCAATTTCATGGCAAAAAATGGATTTTGTCTTTTTCTCTGTGTCCTTTTGAGGCCAAATACAAATATATAGAAATATTGACAGATGAAGTGAAAGCACGATTGGGAAAGAGCATTGTCCAATGAAAGGTTCAAACAGATAAACATAATTCTTCCTTTGCACTAGGTAAAAATTAAATATTATTCTATTCTCTATGAGATGGAGGGAGTAGGATCTTGTTGCCAGTATTGATAAAGCTAAAAAGAAAACCATACAGCCAAGCTCTTTGTCTATCAGGCATCACTCTTAGGAACAGAGATCATTAGCACTATGTGGACTCTTGGTAGGAAGATGTCTGGAAGGAGTAGAATGACAATTTCTTTTTTCTTTTTCATATCACTCTCATAAGAATATTACTTTGGCAAAGCAGTATTAATGAAAGAGATATGAACGGCCCGGAATGGGAATAGGAATGACACATTCTTGCTTATGAACACAAAAGGTATGTAGCCATCTCTGGATCCAATATCAATCTCTATTTTTATCCTCTACTATGTAATATATGGACAACATATAGACCCAGTGGTTAGTGCTCAAGACCAATTTCTGTTACTGAAAACTATACAGGTATATAATGGTTCCAAATCACCAAGGGATTGTGTATCTAATTTAATGTCTATAGTGACTTTCCATACATATGGAGTAAAAGAAGTTAGGATCTCTCAGGATAGAGAAAGGGCATGAGTTTGGTTTCCAACTTCAATAAATGGCAAATTAAGTACACGTTCTGGTGGGGAAGGTAACAGCATTCCGTGTACATCAGCGAACAGTGATGCTGACCACACGATCATGGAAGCATCTTCGGACAATTCTGGCTCCCTCAGCTAGGAAACAGTGATGAGCACCGCCCCCCCCCCCAGAGTCGGGCATACCTCAACAGAGGAAATAATTACGTTTCTCCCCCCCCCCCGGCTCTTGGCATGCACTAAAAAAGTGTATTATAGGCAGCAGCTTATCAAGTCTGAGATTTATGCTCAGAAATCTTTTATAGACATATTATCTCCACAACTAGTTTTAAGCTCAGCTTTGTTGGTATAAGGACAATTGTATTAATTACCATGAAGGAGGGGGAAAAAGAGAAAGAACTAGAGTCTTTCATCCTGGTAGAAGAGACTTGCTTATTTACCATAATATCTCTTTCACAGATAAGTGAAAGTAGGTAGCCACTATATTACTGCAGAATAACATCTTAGCTTTAACATGGAAACAATCTAAGATGAGAGTGAGTACACAAGGTAAAGTAAATTAACCAACGATTGTAACACTACACATGGAGACTTTGCAGAAAAGCACATTACCAAGAGTCACAAATATTAATGCTTCAAATCAGTTGATGTATTCATGCCCTGTGACAGTTGGCTGCTCTTAATACTCTCTAAATTCTTCCTTTAATATTTTGCTTTCATTTTATACAAAAAAAGTCATGCAACTAACAAATATGTTATCAATATTCCTCCATGCATGGTTGTGTGCATAATCTTTTTTTTTTTTTTTGCTATAAATTATGCATATGTTATCAAAGTAATGGACTGATTTTTCTCTCTAAGGTCTGGATTAGGTCAGGTAAGATTTGGGAGATGACATTTAAATTGAAAACAATAAAGTGAGAAGGGTTATAAATACTTGCCCTGTAGCTTCCCCACAGGCAAATAAATGAATAACTAATTCACTGTAACAACCTCATTGAATGTTCTCAGCTGTTGAATATTTAAGTTCTCAAAGCTGGAGGTAGTCAGACTTCTAACACATGCTAATGAGCCAGCTAAGTTCATTTCTGCTGATGCCTCAACCCTTCCCCTCCCCCCACAAGGAAAAAAAGATCCCTTTATCTATGCAGTACAGGTTAGAAAAGCTGAAGCAAAGCTGCAGGACTGAGCAACAGGAAAGCAAATAAACAAAAAATGTAATGGAACACAGAAAGATGAAGTCCCACAGCAGACGGCTTTTGCTTTCAAGATCAAGTAATTATCAAATCTGCCAGTGGAGGAAAAAGCTTTTCTCTTTTGCGTCTATTTCCCAAGCTGGATAGAATACCAAACGGATGAATAGCAGACCTTCTGAAATGTCATTCCTATTTTAATAGTAATTTAGGCTTTGATCCAATGGAATCCTTCCATTACGAAGATAATGGCTGTCCAAGCTTATCACATTACTGACTAGAAGCTCCTAAGACATTCCCCAAATCTGCTGTGAAAGGTTATGGTACTATCTGCAGGACTGTGGAGTGAGCAGAAGTTGACCTGCACTAGCATAATGTTAATTTAGCTCACACAGTTCATTTTCACTCTTTGTAATATCCCCAAAAATTATACATGTTAAAAATGTTCATTATCTAGTTCTCCTACGTAGCTGGAGCCAACTAGATTGGCATATCTCAGTAATTCGGTTAAAATATGATTCCCAACAAACAAGATGTTTACTGAACATTGTGAAAAATAAATCAGTTGCAAACAGTAAAACTCAGAGCACCAAAATGTTTAAGAGTGTTTACCCGGCTTATAAAATAGAGAAACCTCTATATACTGTACAAGTGAAGGAACAACAACTTGTTTGGGCTAAGATCACCTGTTTTAAAACAATCTGTTTTCCTTGCTAAAGTAAGCAATGCAGTTACAAAAGGAAATAGTAGCAGCATTTATTTAGATTTGTTTGAAATTCTTGAAAAGCTCGGAGTTTTTCAAGGACACTTCTGTAATTTTCAGGGAAAGCTAGACTGTTACCAAGGCTCCCATCAACTTCAGCTAGAAAAATAGCTATGCCTGCACTTCGTCAGCTAGTATTGTATGTAGCCTGTTGACAATAGCCTGTCAGACTCTTTGCACTTCAGATTATGATGAAAACAAAAATAAAAAAGTTGAAAATGCAGAATCAAGAAGTGGTTTGAGTACATCTTTCAGAGAATGGTCTCAAAGTACTCTGCAGTAATGTGATACACTATGCTTGTTCTTATATTGAATACAGGGATTTTTTCCCCTGTATAAAAGTTATATTTATTCCTGGAAATGAGAATAAGAAACAAAATTATATTTGCCTAGCTAAAACCAAATTCCTGTGCTGGAGCAAATAAAGCCTGTTGCACCAAAATAGAATAAGATTGCTAAAAAAAAATCCATCCTACAATGGAATTTACATTACTAATAGATATTTGAGAGTTACAATATTAATTCAATTTGGACATGTATGTATATAGTACTTAACAACTTCATAATAATGTGTCTATATAGGCTGCCAAATTATTCCCATAAAATATATAGTAATATACAAAGAATAAAAATGTAGAACACATTATTAACACAGTTTTTTGATAGAAGCATTAACCATTCCATGATTATGATATTACATATGTATGCATGTATGTATTAAATTTGTTGGCTGCCCGTCTTACCACAGGGCAACTCTGGATGGCCAATAAATGTATTTATTTATTAATTTTCTTATGCCACCCACCTCTTCTGTAAGGTGACTCTGGGTGGTTATTTATGATATAAATAACTAGGTAGCTCCATTCACTTTTCATACTGTTTCCCTGCATGTCTCTTTATGACTGGTAAACCACCAATGTGATAAGGCTAGGAGCACTTTCAATATCAATAAAACTTATAGTTTTCCTTGTTGAAAATTGGAATGGACTGTAGATTTAGATTTATTAGAATAAATTTATTAAAATATACGTAGACTGCATTTAAAAATCTGTGTTATTGCATTTTCTATAGGAACTGATTTATCACGGACAAAAGAGCTCTAAGACTTCAAAGATGCTTCATTTTGTTTTCCTCTCCTACACAAAACCTCAATAAAAATCAGTTCTCTTGTGTCTCAAAGTTTCCATTTGTGCCTTGAGAACAAAGGTGAGGCATTAAAACAAATGGGAACAGTGTTTGTAGGTTGAATGAAAAAAAAAATATTTAGAACATTTTATAGTGTTGTCAACTTGAAAATTGCTGAATCAATCAAAACTACAATTGGAAGATTTTATAGATTAGGGCTGTCCAACCTTAGCAATTGTTAATATTGTGCACTTCAATTTCCAGAATTCCCCAGCCGGTCATATCTGTGAGAGACACTTTTTTAAATAAAAGAAAACTTACTGAATTATATCAACCATAAAGAAGAAGTTTTACCCTAGATCTTTCCTCTAATTTGGTCATCATGACAACAGTTGCACTCCTTTGTTCCCACATCATTCTCCAGAAATCTCCAAAGGTCTCAGGAAGAGCTCCTTGGGTTGCAATGTAAGCGTTCTGCTTTCTGTAACCATCTATATAGTTAGCATTTATATAATCACTGCCAGGTATGCCTAAAAAAGGGAAGAAAAAAGACATGATTATTGAATTCAACTATGAATAGAAATTTTTATTTTTATGCTAGAATGAGGTATAACTAGGGATTCCAGGAATGCTAATATATTGTTGCAGAGTATATAATAAAATCACGAAACCCTGTACAAATTTATCTCTGCCCAACAAAATTAAGTTGAGGTTATTTTGAGTTTCTTTCCTACTCTTGAATTTAATCTTTATGCTATGTAATCACTTCTCCAGAATCCCCCTTCCATATCTTCCCTAATGTCATCTATAAATTCCTTTATAAGCATAATTTGGTGCCTAAAGAATTGTAGTTCTGAAATCAGAGCTGAAGACACTTCTTGGATGAGAAGCAAAATGTCTTCAAGAAAAAACAAAGAAAGTCCAGTTGCCTTTTGGAAAAAGTACCTTTGGAACATCCATGAACTGGATAACTGAGAATCTCTACAGACATTTTGATTCAAAGAACTATAAAAAAATTGGGAAATTTCTTTTGGCTCAAACATGATACTCTTTCTAACCAGTGTCTTTTTCTTGTATGACAGGGGTACATACTATAGTTTCAGGACTGCATGAAAGTGTGATTCTGGTGAACTCTAAAAGTTGCTACCAAAAAGACAACTGTTAATGTAACAAAAAAATAAATGATTAATTTACTGACTCTAATCTTGCACTGTTTTGTGGGATTTAGTATGTATGCAATGCAAAGACCAAATGTGACTTTTAGTTGTAACTTTGAATAGTCACTAAATGAACTGTTGTAAGGAAGAACTACCTGTATTTGAGAGTTTTAAAGTTAGATGTTTTACATTAATTGCATATTTTAATGAGTTTGTTGTAACTTGTATTGAGTACATTAGTTAATTTGAGATTGCAGCTGAAGGGAAGATATATTACTTTTCTCAGACACTTACAAACCTAATGATAGGATTTAATTGTTTAAATGGTGAAGAATGTCCCCTCCCAAATCCAAAAAACGTTGAATTTTCTTTATCAATCCTCTATATTGCGGCCACTTTTAGACAATGCTGGTGCAATAAATAAGCTTGTCAAAATAAATAAAAAATCTGAAAGTCAGAAAGGAAAAAAAAAACTTCTAATAAACTCATTAAAATATTTTTCATATATATCCCTAATTCTAATTTTACACTAAAATATCTCTGAAATAGAATGCTGACCTCTTCAGATCCTATTAAATTTCAACAAACTTTGGACAGAATTTTTGAATTATATGGATTATTTATGAAATTTGCTTTGACCTGCAGTATCATCGTTGGTGCCACTGAATATTGATAAAGATTTTAAAAAACTATATAAGAAGAAACAAGTTGCAGCCAGAATTTTGAGTTTTCAATGCTAAGGAGGAAATGATAATATTTCTATAGATCATACATTATTTCTGTTTTTTGTGTGAAAGAGGGAAGAAAAAAAAGGAAAGAAAATGATCATAAATACCAAATATAAATGAAAGGAACTGTACTTTAATTAATATCTCAGATTATTTCTCATTTTAGCCTTCTTTCCTAGCATATCTGTATGTACCTTACATTTAGAGATTTTAGTTTTAGTAGGCTGTAACTTTTAGTTTTAATAAGTATCTAAGTAATAATATCTTAGATACTAAATTACATTACCTATTGCTATAATATATAAGGATAGCAAACTCTCAGCTAAAGTTTAATTCAAGACATAATCCCATTGCAGTTGGTGAAAATATAGTTCCATATACAGTACATGTGTGCAAAAGATTGTCATTCTATTTTGTAAGAGCTACCATTGGATGTGTACGTAAGACAAAGTATTTTGAAAAGTAAACATCAGCAGAAAAACTCTTAAATTATAAATGGAGACATGTTGAAGGTTCTGTATTTCTGATTAGGGTCTGATAGTCCTTGGGTATGCAGTGATGTAGCCCAAGTAATCTGTAGACTGTAGAACAAGAGTGCTGCCAGAGTCATGGGAATTGCTACCAGCCATTTCTGCAAGTGTTTGGTACATATAGTAGCACAGATAAGGAAATTCTAAATACAGAGCAAAGTTTTTTGGGTAATAGCTCCCAGTTGATATACACTGAATACATTGTTTTATACTGGCCAGATTATTTAGAATGCAGCCATGTACATATTATGCAGGATAAATCTTATTGATTTAATTGAAATAATTAGACCAATAGGTACCGTGTTTTTCCGAAAATAAGATCGAGTCTTATATATATTTTTGGGGTCCAAAAGACCCATTAAGACTTATTTGGGGGGATGTCTTATTTTTCCATGTATAGCAGGTGGTGTGCATGCGGGGGGCGAAGGTATCCAGCAGCAGCCACAGCCCACCAGCACCTTGGCCGGTGCTCTCTGGGGCTACCAAGCCTACGCAGTGCCGGTGAGTGGGAATGCTGCTACCACTAGGCTGGCCCCCGCTGGATGCGCCAAACAGTGGCTCACCCACTCTGTCCCACTGTATAGTTGCTCGAGGCCACAACAGGGCAGGAGGCCATGCAAGGCACTGGTGCTTCTGCCATGAGGTGAGGCAAGGCAGGTGGCAGAGCTGCCCACATGCCCCACATCCATGCACCTCAGGACCCCCAAAGCCAGGCCATCCACGCCCCGCTACCTAACTTGCCTCATCTTGTGGCATGGGAGGCAGGCCACCCTGGCTGCCCCCGCATGACACCTGGCTGCAATCCCCTCCTGCCCAGTTCTTTTCTCTCTGGGGGTCAAGCAGAGCCGCCCAAGGTGGACCCTGTAGGTGGGGGGTCCTCTCCCATACAGCTTTGCTCCTGTGCTTGAGTGGCACCTACTGGTGCCCAGTGCTGCCCTTGCTGGGTCTCTGGTGGAGCCGGAATGCTGCTGCGTTTCAGCAGATGCTGGCCTTGCCCTCTGGCAGGCCTAGACAGCTGCTGGAGAGAGGCAGGCACATTTCAGTGCCTGGAGCCCTTGAGGGGTTTTCCTTTCATGAGGTGAGGTGAGGTAGGTGGCAGGGGTGGAACTGCCCTATGTGCCCCACATTCACACACCTCAGGACCCCTGAAGCCAGGCCACCCACACCCACCACCTACTCTGCCTCACCTTGTGGCAGTGGTACCGGTGCATTGTGTGGCCTCTTGCCCTGTTGTGGCCATGAGCAGCCAGACTGTGGGACAGAGTGGGTGGCCAGCCGTGCAGGTGCCTGCTGGACAGGGCTGTTGCTACTGCTACCACCGTAAGGTGGGGCAGGTGGTGGGGCATGAGTGACCTGGCTTCAGGGGCCCTGAGGTACATGGATGCGGGGCATGTGGGGCAGCTCCACCCTCTCACCTGCACCTCACCTCGTAGTGGTGCCACACGCCCTGCTGCCCCGTTGAGGCCGTGAAGAACCAGACAGTGGAAAGGAGTGGGCGGGCTCTTAACTAGTGCTTATTTTTGAGGTAGGGCTTATATTAGGCCCACACGTAAAAATAATGCTAGGGATTATTTTCTGGTTAGGTCTTATTTTCGGGGAAACATGGTATTAGATTGCTGTTTGATTACAACATTTTGATTTATTGAGGAATTGAAGATAAAGGATCATAGGAACTCTTCAAGCACATTAGGGCTCTATTCAATGCAATTGAACAGAAGATGGAGGATTACTGTTTTTACTCTTTTTATATTGGGTTTTTTAATGTTTGTAAGCAGCCTGGAATTATTGAAAGTATGCGGGCAGCCATATAAGTTCTCTAAAGAAATTCATAAATACATTTATTGTACTCAATCTATAACATATTTCAATAATATTGCAGTTAAAAGTTTGTAATTGAACTAATAAACAATTAAAAAGACTTATTGCATTTTCTGCATGTTATTTACAGTATTTTGAAAATCCATATAAAACATATTAATTCTTTTGCATGTTTCTTGTAATAAACAAATTTTATATGTGATATCTTAGCATATTTGTTTTCCTTGGCATGATATATTTTTATATTATGTGACAAATGCAGCACAGATATTATAAAAAATAATAAGTAATATGTATAATATTAATAATTATTAATTCAAGTAATATCTCTGAAGTATATGCATTGTTACTTTTTAGAAAATAATTTTATTTTATTAATTTATAGTTAAAGGCCAAATTATATCATGACAAAATGAGAAGTGCAGATATAGATTATCAAATCTATTTGGAAATATCAATTTTGGAGAATTTGCATTAAACAATAAACAAGAATGAACCTCCACTATCGCTATCCTTTACTTCAAGCAACCTAATTAAAAAGTGTACACTAAGCCTTTCAAAGCCATAATTTTCAACAAAACAGATTTTGGGATTTACCAAGTTTCTGGAGTGATAAAAAGCTTTTCAGGAATTTCCTGAATGTGGAAATACGATTTAATGATTCAGAAAATAACACAAACCTTCCATCTATCAAAAACAGATCAAAAGAAGAATGAGATGAACAAGAGAAATATATATCTAGTGTGCATTATAATTGGAAGATATGGATTTATAAGAGAAACATTTTTTCTAGATAACCTGGGGGTACATTTACAAATGTCTGGTATTGTTCTGTGATGCATCCTTTACTTCAAAATAAAATACATAAATATAAATCACTAAACAATGTACACATGGAATAACAAAAATCCTTCCCTGCATTAGCAAGATGATTAGACAGCTGGCATCTAGCCATAACAACTCACATATTAACATCATTCAGCAAAGAAGAACATACTGCCAATGCTTATTATAAGATGCTCCTAATATTCTTTGAACCCACTGCTACTGGTATGCAACCGTGATTCATTTTTATATTTTGAATTCATTGTGCTTCTCTTTAGTTACAATAAAAAAGTGAAAAAAGAAAAAAAGCCCAAACAATTATATTAAATTTAGTAAATGATTTAGCCCAGTAACAATAAGAGGATTTTTTTTTAAAAAAAAGTAAGTACAATTGAGAAATGGGTGATTTAATCAGTTATAGAGTTTTTGTATAATGTAGATTATTATACTTAAGCTGAAAGGCTGAACTTTT